AACATAAAGATTTTTATGATAATTCTTTGTTTTTTATTAAGTTTTTACCATTTTTCCATCAAGTATACTCAGATTGCAGAGAATGTTTGGCGATATCTATCTTAATTTAACTATTTTCCCGTTCCATCAGCATGGTTGATTCTGGCCTCTAGGGCAGTAACTCACCACACCTTTTGATCGCATGTTTTCTACTGAATGAAATGAAATGATTATACTGAATCAATTGCTAGGACTGCTGCAAGGAAAGTTGATTCACTGTGTCGCACAAGACAATTTTTCAGGTTTGAACCTATTCTGCTAATTTGTAAGTCTAACATTAGTCCTTATATTGAATATTGTCGCCACATCTGATCTAGTTCTTCTCTTATGTTTCTAGAGTATCTTGACAAAATTCAAAGAATAATCTGTAAAGTTATCAATTCTAACCTGGCATCTCCGCTTCAATAAATTTCCAACACCGTTGCGTTGTCTATAAATATATTTCTCTGTAAATCTTCTGGTCAATTATCCTCGTTGGTACCTCAAACGTCATGTATTTAAACGCATTACTAAATTGGCGGCTAGGTTTCATAATTTCAATGTTGAAACTGATAAGTTGTAACCACCATCTATCTGCTAATCGTTACTTCTCTTGTACATTTCGCTTGTGCAAATCACTTCAGGATCCCTGTTTTCCTATCTACAATAATCTTCAAAATTTTAAATTCAGTAACTGCCGTAAACGGCTGTTTGAATCAATTATTTTATTGTCAAATCTGCTTCCCACCTTGCCGTAATCCCCTCCATTATAGGAACTTTTATCGCCTCGTTTGGGGTACACACACACACACACACACACACACACACACACACACACATATATATATATATATATATATATATATATATATATATAGATAAAATAACTGATATGATATATCTGAACAAAATATTTAAGATGGAATGCGTGAAAACTTTTGGAATGATTCTGTACCTTAACCCCTTACTAAAGATTCGTTTAACAACTTAAAATAGTAAAAGTCGAAATTATTACGATGGCAATATTGTAGTTAATGTGTCAGCATTCTTGTTCATTGACAAGTTGTTGTTTTATTCTTTTGAAAACTTAGCATTTACTAACATCAATATTAAAATAAATGTTTATATATGAATGAAATACTGCAAGGAAATACCGTAATTTCCCATCTATAATAATCATTTTTTCTGAAAAAATTAATAAGCAAACTCCGGAGTGGGTATTATGCACAGTTACAAAAATCTTTAAAAAATTGCCGTGAAATAAAATAAGAATGATCATAAAACTAAATTAAAATATATTATTCCATGTTTAAAACCATTTTTTTTATTAAGAGTAGAAAACGCTGGCTGTAAAGAATTTGGAGAGCTACAATTTAAAGGATTTAATTATCAAACAATGGGTGCGTATTATGAGTGAGTAGAAACATTTTCCAATACTTTCAGCACAATTTTAGGTGTGCGTATTTTGAAAGAAGACGTATTATTCATTGGGAATTACGGTAAGTTAGATTTCTACATAAGCAATGAGATTGTTCATAGGAATGAAGGAAAGTATTTACTAATCATGATCTTGCACAGATCATACTTCCTGATGGTGACAATCACCGAGTATCCATAACACACAGGACTGGCCCCTAGTATTGCTTCACGGTGCCGCCCTATTATAAGCTGGATTAAACGTAGATTATATGATAGATTAATAATGAACTAGAATGACATGAAAAGATGTATATTCTGTGGAAATAAGTGCGTTTTTTAATGTTCTGCTGTTTGGTGTAACTCTTCGATGCTGAAAGGAAACAATTTCTGAAATTTCTGAAATTTTTATCACAGGTGAGATTATTCGCCTTGCAGTTTTTACTGCTGTTGTGTTACGGAACAGACTTGCGCACATTCTTCAGTTTATTATGCTAGAATGATTTGCATTGAAATTTTGAACAACACGAGACGCTTCAGCATATATATATATATATATATATATATATATATATATATATATATATATATATATATCATATAATGGACTTTCCCGTCGGTTTCGGCGTATGAGGATCTGACATCTTATTGATTCAGTTATGAAATTTTGTGCGATAAACTTAAGTGGCATTTAAGTCCCGCTATTGATTTACAAAGGGGCCACATATGGAGCAATTGAGAGTATCGTGAGATGAGATCCTTTTTAGATTGTGTGACCTTTAAGATCTTACTCTCGCTTCTTGAAGATGATTCAGACAAGCAGATTGATATAATATATATATATATATATATATATATATATATATATATATATATATATATATATTAAACTGATGCGGAACATATGCAAAAATCAAGAAAAAAATAGATTTTATTGTTACAGCTGGATCACTAAAAAATGGCACTCTGTGGTCCTCTGAGTATGTCAAGGGTCAATACCCTATCACATGAATTTGAAGCTTCAATGGGTCGGAAGGCCATGACGTTGCATTTATATTGTGTTCTGTTCACTAACAAGACTAGGGCGACCCTTGGCGGCCATGACGGGTTGGCAAATGGTCGGGTCTATTTCGGACATGAGCTTCACTATAGTTTACAACGTCAACAAAAGTTTGGAGGGGTCATGGTATCATTAAGGACAGATATGTTAGTCCAGTCAGGTTGCCTGGGGCTAAAATTGCCGCAACTGCCTACTGCAATCTTCTGAATCTCTTAGATACCGCTGTCACTTCTAAGGATTCTAGTATTTATGCCTGACAACAATGCCTCCCATTCCGCCACTTGCACCCAAGCATATCTAGGCTCTTAGCGCATACAAGTTGTAAAGCTGATGGTGTGACTGCCAGCATCTCGAACCAAGATATTTACAAGATTTAACAAGATATTTACGTCAATAGACGTCAGTTTAAATCGAAACATATCTTTTAGGCGACCATCAAAACTCCAGCAGAGGCAGTACATCTTGCTACTATGGAAATATGGACAGAATTAATTGGTTTTGATATGTATCCTTTGGGTTTTTGAAGGTATCAGTCGAAATAGTTCTCATGTGAACAAATAATTCATTTTGTCAGTGAATCAAATAATATTATGGTTTTCTGTTAAATATATACTCAAGGTATGATCAATAAATATGTCTAGATAAGGTATTTTCATTCAAAATATATAAAATAAAAAAAATAAAGGACGCTGCACAGAATAATAAAAAAAACTAGCAATGTTATTGCCATATTGTGCAAACCATTTTATAGATATCAATTAAAAACACACACACACACACACACACATATATATATATATATATATATATATATATATATATATATATATATATATGGTACATATAGTTATAGTTATTACATGTTATATACATGGGCTAAAATGCTCAATATCAGGGACGGAATTTATGTAAATAGATAAGTGTACACTGATGTCAACGCCCAACGCCTTTAGCATGAACCAGAATATCATGTTTGTCAATGTTTAAAATCATATATTATATATATATATATATATATATATATATATATATATATATATATATATATATATATATAAATATAAAATTAAATATAAATATGTAACATAATTTATGGGTTGTTTGAGTTTTTTAAGTGTGGTAAACTACTTGTCCCTTTTTAATTGTAAGAGTCTGTCTGACGAGTTGGGATCGAATCTTCGATTCTAACGAATTAACTGTCACTAGGGTCTCTTAAATGTTCGTTTATATATATATATGCAAAAAGAGAGCGATGGAGTGAAAAATGGAAGTGCGGAGTAAAATAAAGTTTCCAGCCGTGATACTCTTCCGACTTCATGTCGATCCAGGTAAGTTACAGCGATTCCAAACTTAACCCTTTATCTAACCTCATGTGGTCGACCGTTCTCGTTCCACTGCCCTAGTGTTGTCTCGTCTTATTATTTTAGCATTTTTCAAGGAACGAAAATTTTAATGATAATAACAATTACGAGGCAATAACTCTCATGTAAAGAATGCAAATAATGATAACTTCTCATCCCACACGGTAAAGATAATTGTATATAAATTGAAAATCTTTAGAGACGCAAGCTGTCTTCAGGGCTCACCTAGATTTCATACGTAGTACCCATCATAAAAGATTCTAGGAACATTGTCGGCTTAATCTCTCGTATCTGACTCTTTCATCTTTACACGTGTCAGATTAGACAGAAATGGGGCATTGCTGTAATATTAGTGCTGGGACTTTACATTCTTCACTTTGTAGACTCGATGAAGTCAAATATCCTTGACGTGCTCTTGTTGTTGACTACATTTTTTCTATTCTACTGCATCTATCTCATATAGGCAACGCTATTTTAATAAAAAATGTTCAGATGTGACCCATTCTCCAGTTTCAACTGTCACAGATCATTACAGAAAGAACCCGATAGCCTACGCCCATGGAGTTGAGTCTCCCACATTCTCTTCATATTCCAGACCTCACTCAGATATATATTCTCGCGAAATGCTACTTTATTGAAAAATAAAGCTCCCTTATGAATCTCTCTCTAAAAACTACGACCAGAATTCGAAGTTTACTGACTTTGAATATTATCTTCAGTTATTTCTACATCCTCTTACACACCTCTACCATGAGGTTCTATTGTGTGAACCTTAGTATAAAAAGTATATTTGAAGAGCTTCGTGGTATTTTTGAACAACTTATCAACAACATTTAACATGTAAATAATATTGTGCTTTGACTGCATTTTTCCAGTGAAAACTAATTTATCCACATGATTAACCAGAAATTAATATTGTTTGAATACATTAGCCCATTTTAAATAACGTATCTTGATGTTCGGAGTGATTTCAGTGGAATGCGACTAATGTGCAATGCTCAACTCTTTTAGAAAATTGTAATTTTATAGTAGAGCTTAAGCATGACTCTGAATAAATTTCACTGTAATTGACGTTTTTGTCTACTTGATGCTATACAAATAAATATTCATAATTATTATTCAGATGAAAAAGTCTTCCTAGGTAGGAAGATAAACTACATCTGGCAGAATTCTTTCTTTCTTTCTTTCTTTCTTTCTTTCTTTCTTTCTTTCTTCATGTTATTCGACTTGGGTTTTCTTTCAAGCTCTTTCCCGTTCTTTCTTCCATTGTTTCACTTCCTGATTCATTGGTCTTTCATTCAAACATCCTTCCTCCATCATGTTGGCCGCCTTGATTTGACCTTTCAAGTATTCTTCAGTTATTTCTTTTTCTGTTTCGTTTCTTTTTTCTTTTGTTCAAGCTACCATCACTTAAATCTTTCTTTCTGTTTCCTTCTCTTCCTTTCTGTTCTGTCTCCTTTCTCCCTTTGTCATTTGTTTCTTTCTTCATGTCGTACAACTTAATTTCGATTTCATTTTTCTTTTTCTTTCTTTTTTTCTTTCCTTATGTTGTATGCACTGGATTCACTTTGAAGATTTCTTTCTTTCCTTCTTTTCTCCTTTCTTCATGTCGTCTGCCTTTGTTTTGTTTCTTCCGTTCTTTCATTGTTTCTTTTCTTTTTCAGTAGTTTCTCTTCCTTCCTTTATGGTGCACATTCTAAATTCTCTTTCAAGCATTCTTTCTTTCTTTCTTTCTCTCTTTCTTTCTTTCTTTCTTTCTTTCTTTCTTTCTTTATGTTATGCACTAAGTTTTTTCTTCCAAGCTATTTTCCGTTAATTCTTACTTTCGTTTACTTCTTCATTCGTATTTTGTTCAAACATTTTTCCTTCATTAGGTTGTTCGCCTGGATTTCGTCTTTAAAATGCTCTTCAGTTATTTCTTTTTTTTTTCTTATTTTGTTTCAGTGTTTTCTTTTTCAAACCTCCTTCATTCTTTCTTCCTTTCTGTCTCCTTCCGTTCCTTTCTGTCGCCATTCTTCTCTTGTCGTATATTTCATTTCTTTCTACATGTCTACCTTAATTTCGTTTTCATTTTATCTTCCTTTCTTTCTTTCTTTCTTTCTTTCTTTCTTTCTACTCCCCAACACTTCTTTCTTTCTTTCTTTCTTTCTTTCTTTCTTTCTTTCTTTCTTTCGTTATGTTGTCCGCCTTGGATTGAGTTCCAATTTAGATTTCTTTCTTTCATGGTTTCTTTTCTCTTTCATTTGTTTCTCTTCCTTCCTTCTTCTTTTCCTTCCTCCCTTCCTTTCTTTATGTTGCCCGTTCTGAATTCTCTTTCAATCATTCTTTCTGTCTTTATTTCATTGTTTACTTCCTTTCTTCTTTCTTTATGCATTGAATAAGTTTTGAAAAATGTTCTGATGAAAATCTTATATATTTGTCTTTGTAGACATCACAATTTTTTTTTAGTTCATGTCACTTCTGAGAAACCGCCAGACTACATGTCATCATAGAAAAAGCGGAGGTGGGGTTAAAAAAAAACAAAAAACAACCAAAACAACGGCACTAAAAGACTTGGCTGCATAAAAGAGAGAAAAGATCACTCAAATTCATAAATAAAAAGTGACTGTACCGAAAACCAAAACTAAAAACATCGAAACTGACCTTCACAAGAGAAAGGAAATGAATGATACAAAAGACATGGTGACGGTAATGTGAACAGAATGTCATGCCTGTCGTCTGGATTCCAAAGATATGCATTATATATATATATATATATATATATATATATATATATATATATATATATATATATATATATATATATATATGTCAGCGTCAAGGAAGATTTAATTAAGTTTTTTCCCGGCATCTTACGTTTTTTCTGTTTTGTAAGAATAAAGACTTTTCCATAATCGTTATTGTCCCAAGCGGGTATTTCTATAGCCATTTTCATTTGTGTTTTGTTTCTGCTTCTCGTATTTTTTTTTACTCATGTTTTCACTGCTACATAGTAATTTATGTTGGTTTAGTTTTGAATAGGAGAGTTCATTCTGAGCTTTCACATGACGCGCGACTTGAATTTACGCGATCATCTTTCTATTGTTTTAAAATCTTTTCGCACTATCTATCCACAGTTGAATAATGTAAGGTTGATTGATGAAGAGGGATTTTTTATATACAGAGCCTCTTTAATATAATCCTACAAAACGGGAACAAGTAAGGATGCTGGAAAAACTTAATACGAATTTAATTAACTCTTCCTTGTCAGCCGTATTTTATGAACGATGTATCAAAGGATGCTTACTTTCCAATCACAACACACACACACACACACACACACACACACACACACACACACACACACACACACATATATATATATATATATATTATAAATTATCTGATTTCAGATACGTTTTTTCGCTACACAGGAATTACCATGTTTCAAAAGGCGAAAGTAAAAATTTCGAATTTGATTATAATAAAATCTGTAGTTTTAGCTTCAGTTTTGAAACATGGTAATTCTTGTGTAGGGAAGAAACAATATTTTAAATGAGTTAATTTATAATCTTCATGCTCTGTAAACTGTTTTGTAAAAATAAAGATAGCAATAAGAACACCCGATTATATATCTTACTAGTCTTTCTTTTTATTATAATATATAAATATATATCCGTGTATGTGTGTGTGTGTGTGTATATATATATATATATATATATATATATATATATATATATATATATATATATATATATAACAGTAAAATGGAAACTTATAAAAAATTAGAATATGCATATCTTTAAATGTCCCATTTCCTTTTGAGCCTACATGAAAATTTATGTTACTAAGTTTCTGAAAAATAAAAATTATTAAATGAAATAAATTAAATATCAGTTTTCTATGGATATTGTCATATGTTCCTTGATTATATAATTAATTGATATAGTTTTTATATATTAATTGATTATAAATAAATTTATAAATGCGTAATTAAATTCTAATATTTTCACTTTGCAATATCATATATAGTTTATTATTAAACAAAATGAGAATAATATTTTAGATCTTTATAATTAAAAGTATACATATAAATAATATGACCTAATTATATTTGAATACTTTTTTAAGAAAACCTCGATGTAGATTTAAAATACAAGAAAAGTAATAAAAAATAAATATAAATGCCAAATTTTTTGTATTGTAACTCAAAAGAAAAAAACCATTGATGACACGTCCGCATGAAAGGAAATCTGTATCAAGAGTTAGATATCACTAAACCCCAAACCGTAAGTGACTTTCAATTTGCCAAATAAAAATATACGTGTATTCTTTATTTGTCAAAAATCCAAACACCCCATTTTAATAAAAAATTGCGAATTCTCATTACACATCAATTTAAATATATAATACTATTTGGCATATCTATATAGTAATTCAATTTTTTTCGAAGTTTATTCTCAACATTGCTTGAAAATGGAACTGATCTTCAAATTTCAACTTTAATTTAAGTTTTAAATTTTTGGTTTTTAAGAATTAAATTTTGTTTTCTCTGTTACAAAGGGGACATATTTAAAAAGATAATTATAATATTATCGTGCACTTAAAAAATGCTAAATAATCCTGAATTATATATCTAACTGTTCTTTCTTTTTATTTGTGGATTTTCGGTTTACTACTTATCGGATATACCATATATTCACCAGCTAAATATTGTTCACGCAAAAGATTTTTGAAAATTTTTGACACATAATTCTAAAACGAATCCTTTCTTCTTAGCATTGTGTATTTTTAATACATTTTACTCCTTAGCAACTTTTCGTATATATATATATATATATATATATATATATATATATATATATATAGATAGATAGATAGATAGATAGATATATGTGTGTGTGTGTGTGTCTGTGTGTGTCTGCGTATGCGTGTGTGTGTGTGTATCAACAGCAATTTGTTTCATTGATTATTTACACCATTTACACGGGGAGACTCTTGCCATATCTTTTGTTGATGTTATCACAATGTTTCGGCCGTTGTACTCTTCATACTTCATCAGGTATATGTCGAGTCGAAGAATTCAGAATTTTACCCAATTACAGTTATTTTATTTAGTTATTGCTTTCCGTGTTTGCATTGAGTACAAATACACAATACATAGCTAATATGCCGAAGGTGACATATTCATATCCTGGACACAGAAAGCCGTGAAAATAGTACTGGACCATGTTATTTCAATAAAAACTGCGATGTATTCCCCAATTGCAAGTGAAAATAATCAACTAACCTTCCTGAATGTACTAATAACGCGCACAGGGGAAGGGTCCATGGCATTCATATATCACAAGCTAAAATTTTATTGTATTACAAGTTCAATGAGTAAATACTAAACACTTCAAAAACCTCGGGGTAGGGATCGATTATAAGAGATTTAATATAGGAGAGAAGAAGTCGTATAGGTTGCTCATCAGATCGAAACTTTCATATGGATGTCATGTATGTCACTAAACTCGTCCTAATATATCTATCTGCCAGCTGCATACAATCACTTTATAAGATCAATAGTTAAAAAATGATCACTCTACTTTGAATATTGTAAACTGGCACTGGATAATCACAAATAAATAACTGTACAAAATAACAGAACATACATTGAGGAAAGCCCAACAACAGCAATAACTAAAATGGATATAACATATAAATCGAGAAGAAAATAATCATCAAGGCATTGACATCCCTCACCACTTCAAATAAAATCTTCGGTATGAAACCTCCATTAATACTGGAATGAGCGATAACAGCTACTGTAATAAAGAAACCTATTTTCCGGAAAAATGGTTTGAAGAGAAAGATTTTATGAATTCCAACCTAAAGCAGTTCTGGTTTCTCGGTCAATGAATGGTAAAAGTAATATGAATTGTAATGAATTGTAATAGCTAATTGTTGTAACCTAGGAAATGTACTAAATAGAAAAATCAAACGAAGGTTAGTAACGGACGGTAACACTTAGAACAAGAACAACACATATAAGATTCGCCTTTGCCGCGTAGAAGTAGTAGTCAACTGTTAGGAGTGAGTCAAGTGAATTCCACAATGAATTTCCAACTGCAGGATAACTATCAATCGCCTCACGCGGTCAGATGTAGCATAAGGCTGAATTTAATGTGGGGTATCCGAGCCCGTATGCTCAGACAAAACTTTCCCCGTAGCCCCCGAATAAAACGGGGTCTAGTAGTTGTTTCTCGAAACGAGAGTCTGCCCTTTGACATAGCCTCATCTGGGGATTCTTTCGGCCCAGCGATAGAGAGTTTGACCAGCATAACTGGATACGAATCTCCAACGCAAGATCAACGTACAGTATTTACTACTGTATTTATGTGAATGGGGACATACACATTACTGTCCGTAGGTATGCTACAACACTAATATTACTATTACCAACTGTCTAAAGAAAGCGATCCTCCGAAGCATCCAATACCGGGCAAATATCAAAAGTGACCCCTAGCCCAGATAGATACCAACAGGAAACGATTAGAAGCAAGCGTACCCACCAGGACAAAAACTACACAAGGAATATGACATCAATTTTTGCAAGTGGAAGCAGAAGGGTCCACGAGGAATACAAGAATATTGGCAAGGTTTATTTGACTTAAGTTGCGGGGTGATCGGAAAAAAGATTCCGTAGTTTTACGGTCCATAAAACATCAAGGCGGCATTCAGAAGTAGTTCCACTGAGGGTTGAGAAAATGAAATCCTGAATGGATGATTGTGTATGGAGGGAAATATTTAATGATCACCTCCTCTGGAATGAAGGGAACTGCTTGACAAGGAAGAGATAGTTCAGGAAGAATCAGTGCGTATGATAAGGTATGATGTCTATTAGATATAGAAGTCACTAATAAAAGACAAATTATAACAAGATTTCAAAGGTATTAAATTCACATACGTGCTAATACCATTGGGAAATTTATGAATCCTCTTCTTCTCTCCCTCCGAACTATGGATAAAGAACAGGACAGACTTGGTTCCATACGTTTAGATGGCAACTAATCTACTGCAGAAATAAATGGCTACCTACTGCGGGAAGATTTAATAAAGGGTAGAGTTAGGGATTCTCCGGATCGACACACACCAGTGAAATACGGTTAGAAACATACTAGTAGAAAACAGAAATATATTAATTGCATCCACCTGCAAAAGAAGACTAAAAATAATGGAAGCTTTAATAATAAAAAAGAAAAAGCCAACTCTTAACAATATTAACTAAAAACAAAGCCTAACTGTGTTAACCGCATTCGGAAATTAAAAACATCCCTAACACACACTAATACATACACAGAACGCAGATACTCAAGTAAGCTGAAAAATCGAATCATCCTTGATAATGACTAAAGGTGTA